CATTAAAAACTCTTTCTACATTTTTTATGTTCAAAAAGCACTGACTACTATAATTCTGAGGTCAGAGAGTTGGGTTCAAATTCCAACTCTACCACTAACTTATCTGGGAAAATGACTTAATCTGTCTAACCCTTTAGTTTCCTCCAGATAAAATAGGAATAATACTAGTACATATCAAGTGTAGTTTTAAAATGAGATAAAATTGAAGATTATTAACTGTTGTGCTGAGCCAGTGTCTGATGCTCATTGTGTATGGAATTATCTTTCCTCATTAAAATCAAGACATGATTTTCAAGCTGTATTTACTGTTGCTACTGCAAATAAGAATATAAGAATCTAATGTAGGGCCTCCCCTGGTGGCGCAGCAGTTGAGTGCTGGGCTGCAAAGCTGCCCGCAGTCTCTGCAGCGCCGGTTTGATCCCCAGCCACTGGCGAGGGTCCCACATGGAGCGACAGACCTCTCCTGCCGTGCCTGCTGCTCCCCTCAGCAGTGTGTTTCATCAGTCTGCCTGTTCTGTTCCCTGCTCTGGCTGTGGTGAATTCTCTCACCTCCTGTGCTTCTGACTGTACCCAGTGCTTGTATAAATAAATAAATAAATCTTCAAAAAAAAAAAAAAAAAGAATCTAATGTAAAACATGAAGATTATAGTTAATATAACACGGTATTGTATAACTGAAATTTAGTTGCTAACACACATTTGTTAAAAGAGAAGTACACTGAAATTTGGGAGAACTAAACTGAAATTTGCTAACAGAGTAGAACTTTTTTGTTTTCACCAAAAATAAATAAATAGATGGACAAATATGTGAGGTGATGAATGAGTTCATTAAGATGGTAGAAACCTTTCACAGTATATACATTTATCAAATCATCACATTGCACACTTCAAATATCTTCCAACTTTGTCAATTATACCTCAATAAAATTGAGAAAAAAGTAGTGTCAATATGTTAATGTTGAACAAAACAAAGAATGCAGGATCTGACTAAGATAACTACATAGATCACCTACAAATAAATCTGCAAATGTTCCTAAATTTTTTCCAAGGCTCACTAGATAATTTATTCTGCTTCAGTACCTTTGGGTCTCCAATTTAAATATCACATAAAATCTAAGCTATGTGACAGAATATTCAAGGCTTTTCACAATTTTGCCCGCACAACATTTCTGCTTCTCCCCAGTCTTTTATCCTCCCACACCCTCACCCTCCATTCTATATGCCCAGTCTCTCACCATTTGCAAAGCAAGCTATATTTTCAGAGTTTGGGGGCAGTATTATCTCCAGAGAGTAGTTAACATACCAAGTTGGCTTTTTCTGCAGTTCTTCAAAACATCACTAGGCAAGATGTTAAATAAAATCTGCACCTATTGATATGTGTTACAATACCCAGCAGAGTAGTCTTCCTAAATATAAACTAAACATTCAGACTCAGAGAACTACCTTGGGCTGCACTTGGCATCATATTCATCTAAAAAGAGTTGGGACAGGTAACACAGGCCACCTGCAGGGCTCCGTAAGGCCTCCTTCTTTAATGGAAGGGCATTTAGCACTTTTATTCGGCTGTCCAAGAACTATTCTTTTTACTCCTCTCTTTAACCCTGGAGAAAGCTTAGGTCCAAGGAGGTGAGATCTGTATAGGACAGGTTGTCGCACAAGAGTCACTATCTCTTGCAACATCCAAAGTCAATGATCGAGAATAGTTACAAGGGATCTGCCAATGTCACTACACTCAGAAGCCCAAAGATACAGTTCTTCCTGGACAATATGCAGTTTTCCAACTAGAAAACACTTCTTTTATTTTTATGACATGCAGCTATAAGGAAATCAAAATATAAATCTGTTTTTAAAACCTACTTTGTTCACATGGGGAAACTAAAAGCAAATCTTCCCTGGGGTTTGATACAAGTTTGTGAGTTAAAGAAAATGACTTAGTTTAAAGGAGTACCAGATCATTTCAAATCCCCCACCAGAGATGGAAAGATTCTAGCAACAGGAATAAAGCCAAAATGAGTTCTATTTAAGCCTATGAGAAAATCAGACTAAGAAAATAAACCTAGACTTGATACCCTGAGGGTGGATGTGAGAATACGGCCATAAGTTAAATATGTAGAATGAAATGGAGCTGTTGAAATCACCTACTTCTACCTTTCCTCTTTACCCAACAGGAAACTGATGCCCAAGGCATGTCAAGAGCTTGCCCACCAGCCAACACAGTCAGTTCCCATTTCAGCACTTTTACTGCTCTCGGTGCCACAGATCATTCTCTCCAGTATCTACTCATCTCGTGTTGCCAGTAGTTAACTTATTTTCCTTGGGAGAATTCACCCTTCCTCGTTCTCAATTGTGTAATGTGTGTGGAATTATCTTATGCCTACTCTAAAATATGAGTATAACTGATTAATTTCATCAGCGAGTCCATTTCTCCAAAGGGAAGCTTCAGGGCAGTGAGATTTAAAATGGGAGATGAACAGCAGCCTAGAGTCGTATCTTCCACACACACGGCAGACCAGCATCAGAGAGGGAGCAACTACTCTTTTAGAGAACTGAGGATTGAGGATCCATGTTTCCACAAGAAGTTGAGACACAGAAAAGGGTCAAAAAGCCTAAGAAAGGGTTCACCAGGAATGAATGATCCAGGGCACTGGGAGAAATACCAGACCTCCCCTGCTGTGACTCTGGGGCTTCCCTCCCACTCCAAGACAACCTCCAAACCATGATGCACCTGGGGCTACTGTTCCTGAGGTTTCCATGGAACACTAGTCTACTGCAGCCTAGTGAGCACTGCCTCTGGGAAAGAATACTGCTTGCTGGATGAACATGGAGCTGACACACTTGGGACTGCTGGTGACTAACTTTGCTCATGACCGTCCCCCCTCTGCCTGGACTCCTGGAATTTCTAGCAGCTCCTAACTACTGCAATAATATGAGCACAAACCTCCCAAAGAGATCACAGATTTCTGGGCAGGTGTGGGTCTGCTACTCCTAAGCAACCTGTTTGGCCACCATTTTGTTAAATTCTAAACAAGGTCAGAATGGCCTGGTCAGTTAAGTACAGGAGGCCAACCTGCAGGTCCCTTTCAAATCAAACAAAAGCACAAAGCTGGATCATGTGGGAAGGCTATGCATCACGCGGTATGACTGGGAACGCCCAGGGGGCCAAGGACAGATGCATAACATGTACTCCCGACTTATACATCATGGGGTATGCCAAGGACACATGTATAACAAAGGACCCCAGAAGATGATCAGTGGAAAGCCTTGTTGATAAGATTAAAACCATGGCCAGGGAATTAGGGCTTGATCTCAATGACAATACTGAGTCATCAAGCAGATAAGAAGTGCCTGGAGAGCTGACTCACAATCCCTGATCTTCTACATTCTTCCCCTTACTTTAATCTCCTTCCTTCTCAATCTCCTTCCCCTTTCCTTTTGTTCCTCCCCCTTACAACTGATGCTGTGTATCAATAAAAAGGCCAGGATCTTGCTCTTCAGCAGCATCCTGCATTATACAGCCTGCTCCACGAGTCCCATTTCTTTATCAGTGTGGTGTTGCCCCGATGCAGCAGGCAGGAATTGAGCTGATGGTACCTAGGACCGTTTGCAGCTAACCTGGTGGTTCTCAGAAGCACCAGTCCCTCCCCTGTTGGGCTTGGCAGGCATCTGGACATCCTAACTACAATGAAGTCTACAATTCCCCCCAGAGCCTGCCTGAGGCTCAAGAACACTGTCCCCTGGTGATCAGCTTATGCCTAAGCTTCAGGGGAAAAGCAATGCCAGCACTGTTCCTGGGATCAGAACTAGGATGCAGCTAAAGTATCAGTGGCATTTTGGGACTCCCGAGTAGAGTCTGACTTGAGGTACCTTGACCAGATAGTGACTGCAGATCAGATGGTCACTGCAGACCCTCCCTTGGCTCTTGTGGCTGCAGCACCAAGAGAGCCTTATGTCCTTGGCAATCTACTGCAGCAACTCCACACTCCCCATATATCTGGCCCTCACCCTGTAGTCCAGGTTCTTGGATCATCACCTGGTGCTAGTTCTTGAGCTCCAGGTATCCTGATTAGTGATGTGGTCTCAATTAAAACAACAATAAAAAGGACAACATCCTAAGCCAATACCCTATCATCTTCAATTCTAAGACACAATCATCACAACAGAACTAGGAAGGAAGACAGTCTAGTTTAATTCACAGAAATAATCCCAGAGCATCACACTGCATGAGGCAGAGGAATTCATCCAAATAGATGGCTCAAGTCAAAGACATGGTGAAAATCCCTAATATAATAGAATTAACCAAGAAGACTTCAGAACAACAGTCTTAATGCTTAATGATGGTTACTGAAATTACGAAAACAATGAATGAACAAAGCAAGAAATACAATAAGGACAGAGAAAATATAGGGCACTAAACAGGAATCACAGAGATACAATATGCAATAGTTTTACTGAAAAATATAAAAGAGGGGCTCAATGGTAGACTCAAGGAATGAATCAGAGAGACAGAAGATAGGGTATCAGAAAACATCAAAAAAATAAAGCTATTAAGCTATTAAGAAAAGAAGAAACTTATGGGATAGCATCAACAGGAACCACATTTGCATTATAGGAGTTCCAAGAGGAGCTGAGAGAGAAAAGAGCAGAAATTCTATTTGAAGAAATAATGGCTGAATGGATACTTCAGAAATGGCTGTGACCTAAATCAGATCAGGAAAGAGACAGTAATCCCAGTCCTTGCATAGACACTGTTGAAAGACATTTTCTGTCCCTCTAGACTGGGTGGGGACAGTCTATATAGCTGACACACTACCCTTATCTAATTTCCAGAGAAGTAAGTCTAAGTCAACCAAAAGTTAAACTGTCAGGAAAAATGGAAAAGGATTCAAATAACTATTTACCCACAATGGATTTCTTAAAAGTGGGGAATTACAATAGTCTATCCAAAAAAAAAAGGAGGGGAAATGGGGGGGAACTTAAGATAATTTTTATAAATATACTTACCATCATTAGCTGCACCATCTGCTAGAAATATGTAGTAGCTCGTGTTCAGATCAAATCTATTCTTAACCCCAGGAAGGGTAATGTTTCTTCTGAAAGAACATTGCATAACACCATCCGCCAGCCTCCAAGACATATCCTTAAGAATATCCTACAAACAGACACAATGGGCCTTCTCAGCACCTTCCAAACACTTGCTAAAAATAAGGTATGATCAAAAGCCTGACCTGTCCGATTTCCTTTGTCTAAGATACTTTGTGCTTGTTTTGTCTGCATGTCATTGTTTTTCTACTTCCTCTTTGAAGGTGCACATGAAACATTTTCTCCCAGTTTATTTGTCTTTATTCTCCTTGGAAAACAAATTATTTTTACTTTAAGTCGCTCCCACAATTCCTCTATCTGATTACAAATGTGGCAGATTTACTAACTCCATCTGGTCACTAACACACAATCAAAAACAATCAAAGAAACAATTAGCAAGTAACTCCAGTGACCCAAATTCAGCATGCAAAGAGGGAAAAGTTCCAACCCCACTGCAGAAGTCAGCCCTGGGAGAGCTGTGCAGAAAACACAATGCCATTATGCTGACAGCTCTGTCAACAGGCATTTAGGATGGTTCCATGACTTGGCTACTGTGAATAATAGTGCTGTAGACACTGGTACTAGAGCTTTGATGGAGGCTAAGTGTAACAGGTACACATATGGAGGTGGGAAGGTGTACCCCCAAATTAAAAAGTTATATAAATGATTGGAAAATTAATAACATTTGAAGGAAAAAATGAAAAACATTGTGTAGTTTCAAAATTTTTAGAAACTGATAGTTCAGCTCAGCAGAACTCATTTGCTTGTCAACCGCCAAGTGAAAAAGACACTTCTCTACCAAAAACAGGTGATGTCACCTTGGTCACAGATGCCAGCAGTGGGGGGGAGGGCACTTATGTCAACTGCCCAAGACATTCTCTACCATGTGTGCTTCTTAGTCTGTAAGCTTTTGAAAAGGGCCTGATGATGCTGTGACCATTTAACAAACAATAAAACATTTTTTTAAGATGTAACAAAAACATTTAAGTGGCACAAGCAAGCATTCATCATTCCCATAAGAAAAATCTATCTTGCAATTTAGCACATAAAAAAGGAAATGAAATGTTGGTCAACCAGTACTAAGTTGCAGTTATGTAGGATGAATAAGTCTACATATGGATGTATACACACACACACACACACACACACACACACATGGTAACTAATGAGATAATGGTTATGCTAATTCACTTGACTATAGTCAATCATTTCACTACGTGTATGTATATCAAAGCATCATGTTCTACATATACCTTAACTATATATCACTGTGTTAAGTATATATAGTAACATAATAAAAATAAATCACAGAAAAGTTTCTCCCGAATGTTATAAGAGAACCTACTGCCAGGCCCCTGCCTGGGCTGGATGCTTCCTGAGGCTAGGAGGCTATCTTGCAGTACAGCCAAAAGGTGGGCTGACCCAGGGAAAGTCCCCAGAATTTTCACTCCTACCTCAGAGTCCATCACAGGGTGACTTCGCCCCATCAGATGGGAAGGTTTTATATGCACAATCTGATCTTCATGAATACACATGTAAGCATCATCATCACCCTGAGAAATAATTGCAAATGAGAAAAGTTCAAAGGAATTTCAACATTATTTAAATCCCTAATGAAATCAAATAAGATTTGATGCTTTCAAAACATTTACTAACTTAATATTAAATGATACTATGAATTCTAGAGAACTGACTGTCCAATCTATTAATTAAAATAATTTGTCAGACATACTGCAGGGGAGGAGAAGGGAGGAACACAGGGGACTGAGGTGATGGGGCACGGGTGCATTGGTGAAGGAAATTCTATGGGGACTACACCTGAGGGGGTGGGGGAAGCAAATATTGTTTAAAAATGAGCAATGATGTAAAAATTTTTTTAAATTAATAAAATGATAATTTTGTCATAAAAATAATTTCCATGTAAAATATAGATTTAATAGTAAAATATTTATTAACCCATCACTAATTGAACACCACTATTAAACTTTCATATATATTCAGCTAAACCTATTTGTATTTATACAAATTTTTTTCTCCCCAAATGGGAAAATACACATTTTTGTTACCTTTTTTCAATTATCAACTCATCATGAACATTGTTCTGGATATTTATTTGTACATATCTATGCCCTACAAATTTTAGTGGCTGTAAATGTACCACATTATGTTGAATTTTTTTTTTTTAAAGAAAAAGTTTATTGAGGAACAGAAATAAAGTGGGACTCCCAGGCCAGGGAGGGGCAAGGAAGCCCATGTTGAATTTTAGAGGATAATTTTTAAGATAGGAGACAGTAATCAAATAGTTAAAATTGTATACACTCAACAGATTTACTATTACATACTGAGACCAAAATATCTGAGCTCAAGGAGACATATTTTGTCAATTTAAATTTTAATCTATCCTATTTAGTCTCCAATATTCTTTAGCTCTAAAAGTCAGACCTTATTAACAGAAGGCAGATTGCAGTTTCAAAGCACACTTTGGTACAAAAGAATGATACAAACGAAAAATTTGGATTTTAAGTTATTGTGTATAGTTTCAGTCCTTTCACCTATTCTAACTCATTCTCCATAAACTATCTAATAATGTCATTTATGTGCTTTAGTACTAAACTCCTTAAACAAGATAAAGACTTAGCAGTCACAATAAATTTCATCATAAATTGAATATGATTTCTAACAGGTTTTTAGTTCATTTTTTAAAGTTCCACTTTTGAGAATTCTCAAGTACATAATCACAACAAAGCAATTATTCACTGTCACCCACCTTACAGTCAACTCAGAATTAGTCCAATTCAAGTAAAGGAATTTAGAGTTGTCATGATTTAAACCAAGACTCAACAAACTAGAACATATAGGCCAAATTCAGCCTGATGCCTATTTTTGCACAGGCTACAGGTTGAAAATGTTGTTTACATATCTAAATGGTTGCTAAAAATTAAAAGACAAATATTTTATGACAAGTAAAAATACAAGAAATCCAAATTTCAGTATCCATAAATGAAGTTTCATTGGAACACAGCCACAACTAAGTTATGGATGGTATATGGCTGCTTTAGCACTACAACATAGTTGTTACTACAGAGACCACATGGCCTGCAAATTCTAAAGTAGTCACTACCTGAATTTTACAGAAAATATTTGCTGATCCCTGATTTAAACAATCTATTTCTTCTAGAATAACTATCATCAGTGAGGCATAAGAATCCTTTTGCTATTTAAAACAAATTTCAATATAACAAAATGACTGATTTTGAGACAAATTGATGATAAGGTTTCAACTATTATATTACATATATTATATATTATATTATAATATTATATAGAACTATTATATGATTATATATATTCTATATTATAGAACATTTTTCTATAAATGCTAATGGCTCATTAAAGGATTTGGAGATAAAATTATCTCAATTGTGTGTTGGGAAGAGCACTCTAGTGGTTGTTGAATGATGAAATGGAAAGTAGAAATCATAAAGGCAGGACAACTAATGAAAGGTTACCACAGCAGTCCAGAGAGAAGACAATAAATGTATATGCCAAATCACAGACAGTGGCAAGGCAATAAATAAAATAAAGGAAGTATGTCCAAGAAAGAATCAAAAGTATCTAGAAGATTTGTAACAGTCAAACATATTGCACCCAAGATGCAGAGAGCATCTTGTTACATCAGAAAACAAGACATGCTCAAAAACTAAAGGAGACACATAAAAGGGCGCAGAGTCAGCTGAAGGGACTGCCAAGATCACAATTGGGTTAATGTGAGCATCAAAAAGAATGATGGTAGGGCCTCCCCGGTGGTGCAGCAAGTTGAAAGCAGCACTGTGAAGCTGTCCACAGCGTCAGCAGCACGGGTTCGATTCCCGCCTGGCCAGGGAGATTCCCACATGGCGCAGCAGACCTCTCCTGTCTCACCCGCAGCTTCCCTCAGCAGTGCTTTCGGTCTGTCTATCTGCCTGTTCTGTACCCCCTCTGTCTCTGATGAATCCTCTCACCCTCCCATGCCTCTGGCCTGTTCCCCAGCTATTGTATAAATAAAAAAATTTTTAAAAAGAATGATGGTAATAGACAAAAGTAGTTCATTAGTCCATAGACTTTTACTCCAAAAACAAAGAGGAGGTACAGAGAAGAAAGCTCTTCCTTTCAAAAGAATGCCAGCTTATTAAAAATTAGAAAATCACCAATTTGCAGCCACCCAAGTACTGCTGATTCAGGAAAGGATCATAAATAAATCACTATCTTGATAGCATGTTATTGGAGAACAGAATATTCATATAAAGTATCACCTTACAGATTACTTAATTTTAAGGAAGAAAATATACCTTCACATTAGAGAGGTTGATAGATGCCAGTGATTGCACTTAATAATGAAAAAAATCTAACATTATGTACATCTTGATGTGATGCACTGAAATACATTTCTATGTAGCACTTATGCCAAGTGTCTTAATTTGAACATACCGAAAATTTGGGAAGTTCTACCAAACAACTGGCCTGAAAAAATATTCAAGTAAAAATGTACAGCAACTATTCTAAAGTAAAGGAGACAAAGAAACCTAACAATTAAATGTATTGAGTGATAACTTACCAAAACTTAGATCATAAAGATTTTTTTTAATTATAAAGTATTTAATTGGGATAACTGAGGAAATTAGAACCTAGACTCTATGTTGCATACACTGCACATGATTATTATGTCATTGTCCACTTTTCTCAATGTGTAAAGCTATTTTGGTAATTATAAAAGTCCTTGTTCTAAGGAGACACATGCTGAAAATTTTAGTGGCAATATGTCATGGTATCTACAATTTATTTTCAAATAAGTTCAGGAGGAAAAGTGTTTATGTACACCTCCTAAATCAATCTACACATACAAATGCACACACACACACACACAGAGGGAATGAAAGACAGTATAGTTTGTATACACAATATTCTTCCCATCATTTAACAAAATATCTGAGTTGGGGAAGATGTCTGTACTCTGAAATCCAGTTAAAATTCAGATATTAGCAAGTTGTTAGTAAAAATATGGAAAATTATACTTTTAATCAATTTTAGTGATAGAGTCTAATACCAAAACAATTGCTATCATTAATTTACATACCAAATTGAAAATAATGTATAATTTAGGTTACCTTATCAGTATTCATAACATAAGGTAACTTCAGTATTTAAATTTACATTACATACTAAGGAGAATAGCAAGTCAAAAAATATCCTAAAGTTTTTTTCAATAACAACTAAAAATAGAAATAACTACTTCAAAAATATTTTAAGGATAATTTATTTTCCCCAATTTAAGCAAACAGGTGTACAGATGATTTTAATCATTAAATGGAATTGCTCCGTAAATCAACTGCACCTGCATAATTAAGTCTTTTTTATAAACATTTTTGATGATAACTATACTAGAAACATAAGATTTCTAAGTAGGGTAAATTTATCTTGAATTAGAGATAAATGCTTTTGTGTCATCTATGCCTACACCTTAGAATAAAAATAACTGGCCTACCTGCAGGCTACTCCTCACCACATTCAATGCAACAATAGTGTCCTCTCTTGCTGACAGATTTTATTAGACCAGAAAGGAAATGTGTTAATGTACAATTACATTAAATTTGACTAAAAAAAAAGACTAGTTTTTTTTTTTAAATGACTAGAACATATATCTAAATGAATATGGTATCTTAGACTTCAATCTTAATGAAACTACACATTTATTCCACCATGACTACCATTGCTTATCACTGTTGGACTCACCTTTATGATTCCTTATAGCCCATTCCATCGCACTCACACAAGTACTACCACCATCTTTCCCTATTACTTTATACTCAGATTTTATTTTTAACCGAGCCTCATGATCCAACTTGTGCACCAAGCTTGGTTCATTTTTGCCAGCACTAGGAATACCCAAGAGAATATGCAAGATGTCTAATGGCGATTATAAAAAGGAAATGGGGGAAATGTCTTGAACACCTGCAATATCATTTTAAATTTTCCCATAAAGGCAACTTTAAAGGGAAAAATTTATAATTCTTATACAGTCTTCTTTTTTGCTGCATTATTTCTTTAAGGTAAGGTTGGTTCAGTATTTTTTTTTATTTCATTTAAGTACCACCGGTGTAAGTAGTTATTAGTATTTTCTCAGTATAGGCTCTCCCCGCCAGGTGTAACGACCGATCATGACCATATCATGACCAAAGCACCCAGAGTCCTCCACCAGAGTCCATTGTGCTCTCTCCCGTTTTGTTCTTGCTCTTCTTTCTCCCCCTCTGGAAGTCTCAGCTCTGGGGTCAGCTTCCAAGGGTTAGTTTTTAAGTTTGAGTTTACCTGGCCCTTTGTTTGGTTTCTCTATATTCCGTATATAAGTGACACCATTGGGTATTTGTCGCTTAAAATTTTTTATAGCACAACATGTACATGACATAATTGTATCTCCTAGGTTTAAGGTATATCCTTTAATTTAAAAAAATATATAACAAGTGAATTCTAGAACTATATAGTAAAATATATACTCACAGACATGTATTTCAATATCATTCCCCCCCAAAACAGTTACACCTGGCTTCCTGAAATACTGGCAACCAGCGAGTACAAGGACCGGGGTGATTAGAGTGCACTTTTAGAGAAAACATTAGTTCTATCAAGAAACCTTGGAATTCTAGGATTTCCTTTTTTTTTTTTTTTTCCATTTGATTCCCTAAAGAAGTGCTATTAAATGCAGAACCTGACAAGAAGAAAATTCTCAAGAAAAGACTTCTTGTCTTTGCTAATGTAGAGACAACAGGCGCCATTTGTGGTGGTCTTCCACCCCCTGCTGCCAACCTTGCTTGAACAGGACTTCCACAGGTCCAAGCCATAATATTCTCCTTCCTTCTCCCTGGGAAATCAGGATGCTTATGCAGCACTTTTCTCTTCCACACCACAGCACAAGGCTTCCACCTTCAAAATCATCTAGTCCATATAGCACTACTCAAGGGAGAAAGAATTAGCTTAAAACAAATACCGCCTTCTGTACACCTGACAAAGGAGTCTACTGGTAACAAACACATCTCTGCCTGGATATGCCAGGCTCAGTTCTCTTTGGAAAATGGACTGATGAATATCAAAATGGGGACACCACGAGCAATCACTGCTGTTCACTTGATCAACCAACTAGGAGTTGGAAAGTATCACAAGCAACATGAGATTTTATACAGCTCTTGCTTTATCATAGAGGATAAGTAGACAATAGAGATAGAAAAATAAAGCAACAAATCCCCTGAAAATAAAATGATTTTCCATCTTTCCTTAGGATACTATGGAACTGCCCAACTGTCAAAAACATGCAACACTTAAAGCTATTTAACTTAGAATCTGTTTTATGTTTCTCCTGTCCCTCAGTTTGCACGGCTCCCTACAGTATGATCAATGGACTCTGGAATAAAGAGTTAAACCACCGTTGATTCGAACTCACTCCAGTGATTTTCTTTTCACTACCACGTATGTAAGTGAGAGGTACAAACCATCCATCGGTCGTAAGAAAATGCAAAGGATAAATAGCCTTCACTAGGACCGCTCATTTCAACCATCACTGATTGGTCATCCAATGTGAAGGACAAGAAGACACAGGCACGCTCCTTCTCTGGATCACAGTTCAAAGGACTCCTCATGCAGAACTTCTTGGTACCACAATCTAAAGCACTGAACTAGAAAAATGACAGGAGAAAAAAAGTCTTAATTATCAAACAAGCATTTCATTCCCAATGACAGAAGAGCCACTACTTTGAAGCACAAGTTTCAATGAAAACAGCTTTTCATGACAACTACTCAAATCAAGGAACAAAAGACACAAAGCAAATTATAAATGGTCAACACAGCACTTACGCTGTGAACTTTTAAACTTAATTTTAATTAAAATTTGGAAGTCACACTAGTTGGACTGTAATTATACATGAATATTAAAGTTCTTTTAATATGCAAAATATCTCATGTTAATTATGTTCTGGAGCAAAGTTTCAAGGAATATTGAAGTCCACATTGACATTCTTTCTTTAAGGATATCCTCTAGTTTTCAGACAGAACTTTCAAAAGCAAGCAAATAACATTTAGCAAGGTTCTATGTTTAGAAGCTAGATGCTGCTTGTAGAATTTAGGTTCAAATTTAATATTAAGACAATATAATAAAAAATGTTCACTTGTACATATACCATCACTCCATAGAATATTATTAAGAAGTTAGTGGGGCAGAAACAAGAACAACCAACAATGATTTAATTGAGAGCTTCTTGGTATGGCAATGAGAGAAAATGTTTCAATCTCAGTTCTACAATTTGACAGAGCAAACAAGCAGACATCTGTTAGAAAGGGCTGTGACAGTACATTTCAGAATAGAACTAAACATTAACACTATGTAACCAGATGTAAAGGAAACTATACAGGGAAAAAAAACACTCATTTCTTCTTCTACTCTACCAATTTTTTTCCCACACTGAACAAATCTACAGTTTCATGCAGACACCAACTGGGTGTCTTATGTTTCATTTCTATTGTGACACTATCAACCTGAACTTAGAATCAGATTCCACGAGTACTCAGTTCCATTAAGACTAGCCCCATTTCAGATGCCAATCACAAACCCCAGGTTGTCACCTGTCATAAATTCCAGGTTATCACAATCCTCTCCTCAGATTTGATGATTTTATCAGGTGCTCACAGAACTCCGGAAAACAATGGACCTATTAGATTACCAATTTAGTATAAAACAATAGAACTCAGGATGACAGAAGTTCTCATCCTGCACAGGTCAAGGTCTGTGGGAAGAGGCAAGGTCTCTCAGAGGCAGCACTGCCACAAATTATTCAGTAACCTAGGAGCTCTCTGAGACCCATACTTTTGGGATTTTTATGGAGGTTTCATCATATAGTTATAACCAATTATTAACTTGATTTCAGCTCTTTTCCTTCTCTGGAGAATGGTGGGCAGGGTTATAAACCCCAATCTTAGTTTTTCTAGTGATCAGCCCCTGTGTAGAACCCCACCAAGAGTTACCTCATGAGAAAATAAAGACACTTCTATCAACCAGTAAATTCCAATGGATTTATCTATATCATAGACACTTCTGTGATGCAGAAAATTACAAGGGTATTAGGAGCTCTGTGTCAGGTACTAGGGTCAAAGGCCAAATATTAGCAAGAACAAGGGACTATATTATACACAAAAAATTTACAGGAACTTATACCCAACCATAGTATAAAGGAGGAAAAAGCCAATAGAAACTAACAAACAAGGATTTGGGTCTCTCCTCTCCCCTTTAATCCACCATGTTTACTAAATAACTTATTCTCTCTTACCTTCAACTATATAAAAGGGGCTTAAGGAACTAGACCCTAAGGTCTCTTCTAGCTCTGTAAATGCTATAATCCTACGGCACTGAATAAAACTAACTATAATGGGAGATTGTAAAGTCTGTAGCACAGACATATAATAAAAAGCTCCAACGAAAGCCTTTTTTGTGAACATATAGGAAGACAACAATCTACTCAACAGTTTCCTACTGGGAATCTCTTTACTTCCCTAGTGCAACTTTAAATAAATAAGCATTAAGACTAAACCTGAACTAGAGAAAAACAAAAGGTCTGTTTGGTTAAATAAAAGAGTAACAATAATAATGTAATCAAATATGACTTCATACTTTGCAAAATGTAAGAGATTATATAGGCTACAAGTACTGTACTTAGTTTTCCCCATGAGAACAAAGAGACATAAAAAGATAAGAAAGGAAAAGAGGAAGAAAAAAGAAACTAATATTTATTGAGTATCTTTTAACTGCAAAGCAGTAGAAACTTTATATTCATTATAACACTCAATGATCACAGTGACTTTAAAAACTAGACATCATTATTTCTCATTTTATAGGTAAGGAAACCGAGATAGAGAATTAAGTAACTTGAATCAAAGTCACATAGAAAGTAAGTAAGTCAGGATTCAGGCCCAAGTTTATTCTTTCAATTATGAAAACAAAACTGTGTTAAGACATTCTTCATTACATTTACTTCTGAATTAATAAGTTTAATTATCAGAATTGCCATCAGTAAAAGCTCTCCAATATTTAATAAACATTACCCTTTCCAATACATATTTTTTCAATCATAATTTTTTTAAACTAGACAGCCTCAATGGACTTCTTGGTGATAAACTTGCAGAAGAATTTCTGTGGTTTAGCACAGAAAATTCATTCCTCAATACTCACTGACATTAAAGAAATAATACTTAAGAATCATCACTATTTCAAGATATTCCTCCAAATCTTCTCTAAATTTGGCTTAAATTTTAAACTCCTTCCCCATGTTTGATATTTGGCAGTGTTTTCAAAAAAAGAAAAAGAAGAAAGCTTTTACAGCTTCATTAGATTTATTTTCAAATGAAAGCATACCCACTGCTAGTGCCGACTGTGTGAATTCATAACCACATCTTGAATACCCTAAGTCTTACAAGTCATTTATTCTAAGCTATGTCAATGTTGCAATGAAGACTTCCTTCAGATTGCCTACAAAGAACCCAAATGCTTGCCACCAGGATCCATTACAGCTACTTCTCCAAGTATTCTTTCCATTCTTTACCAAGAACAGAACCACATATATGGTGATAATATAAAAGTGTTACCCACTGATTGGGTTAAATGAGAGACTGGAGGTAACGTTGACAAAGGTGCTCTTGTAGCTTCAGGAGTGGTAAAAGGTGGTGCATTTGGCTGTGAAATTACAGGACCAGGAATCTTCACCCAGTAGCTTTTATACTTTTCAACCACTGTAACACTGAAAGGCAATACCATAGAGATTAGATAAAACCCTGATTGTGATCCACCATAATCAAATCAAAACTTCAAAGAAAAAAAAAGGAATGATACAAGAACTTAATAGCACCTTACAGTAACACTAATCTTGTCTCAGGCAAATTTCTAATGACTTCCATCCTACCACTAAATAGATTTTTATTGTTCTCACTCTCTCCCTCTTTCTCAGCCTCACTTATGTTGGCTTCTTTTCTCTTATTTGCCTGCCTATTGGGCATATTCACAGCAACCACAAATGCCAGATGCAGGGATTCAACTGAATAGATTTCTACTCCCTGACATATAAAGAAGATACTACTAACTCGTTTCATATTATACTCTTCAAGGTAGCCCAAAGGGCATGTATAGCAGACAGCTAGAGCAAGAAGCTATATAGAGGCTATATAAGCCACCTCCCTCTTACTGGAGTCACATGCCCTTTTGCATATTCCATACAACATACAGTCACAAGGCTGACTTAACTGTGTGCTGGTAATCTGTGAATAAAGTGAAGCAGAAAATGGAGACATGACAGGAGAACAACTCCCCTCTTAAAACAAAAGTCTGTAACACAAGGAACCACTATATGGCTTTATTATATTCCATTTTTCCTGGCACACTGGATTAAGAAAGAAGCACTATTATAATTCTATGAATTTATAATCCTGAGGGCATGCAGGCCCTTATTTTCTTAGAGTCTAATCTATAAGGTCTAGCACTACAAAATAGTCATTGAAATTTCAGAAATTTTTTTCCTGTTCTTATACTTAAGACAGGAGTAAATCTAAAAAAACTATTAATCCACATATCATATAGACTCAAGTATTAACTGATGTCTCTGACTACTAGTATGAAGGCAGTGAAAATTTTCATTCACTCAACAAATATCTATTAATTGCCTATTAGGTGCCAAATCCTGTACCAGTTGTTGTGTATATACTGGTTGAGGGAGAAAATAGAAAGATGAAACAACAACTTACATCACTAAGGTGGTATCAAATATACCAAATCTATCCTATATAGGTGAATGTCCATTAAATATAAAAAATTATACAAATCATTAATGTTTCAATTATTCTAGTTACAGAGCTGCAAACTTTAACTTACAGAAACTGTATGTGATTCGGGGCACTGCTTGGAGCATTCCAGAAGACTTTAATTTCTGATTTCTTAGATGAACTTGTATGACTCACGGCTGATCCCTGAAGTAAAATGGAAAAGAACTACCATTCAGTCACTCATTAGCTAGCATGGCTGAAACCACTATCATTTTGCAAAGTAATTTATCATTGCATGACCTTGGCATTCTGGTAAAAACTATTCACATAGAACTGGTTCTCAATAAATACATGTCAAATGGTTGATACCAGATTAACTGCTGACTCTGTGAATAAATTAAGAGTCAGCAGAAATTTTAGAACTGAAGAGAGTAATGAATATTGTGTGTGTTAATGCTAATAGAGCCTGCTCATTGTTTTGTTTATACTATAAACTTATATTCCTTCCATTAATAGAAAGAAATAGAATGCAGAACATTTATCAAAAGAAAAAAACACTTCCAAATATGTAGCATTAGATTTTGGCAATTACTTTCTCTTAAAAACAACATTATTTCCTTTTTTCATTCACCTGGAAAATTTCTACACATTTTTTTCTACACCTTCTCCAAGAAGTTGTCTCTCCATTCCCTGAAGCCTGTGAGTGGCATTCCACACTATGATTCCCTCCCGCTCTGTGTGTGCTTCTAAGTTATCACACTGTTCTACTTATATCTGTCTTATAGTTATATATTCTACTTATGTGCATATGTTACATGGCAAGAAGTTCAACAATAATTAGAACAAAAAGTTCTACTTAAGGCTATGAACTCCTGAAGAAATAAGAGTAAGTATTGTTTATCACCATATCCCTTGCACCCGGGACAACTCCTGATAAAGTAAAGACTAAATGAATGATAAAATTAGATCTTCATTGAGAACTCTATTTTCAATATTTACACCCTTCACAAATCAACGAGTCAATATTACATAAAATATCAAAAACAATAAACTCTTCAAGCTACTGTCCTACCTTCCCTAGGAAGCTGATTTGTAACATACACTCCCAGTTGTGAATTGAGGGGGAAATTTTAGCCATTAATAATCTATGTAGTTGTCTACAACAAATGTTCTTTATCGTCTAAGCACCACCCTGCAGTGAAAAAAAACATGGAAAATGACAGAAATCAATTTCAAACACAAACCTGCACATCTTCACAGGTCAGAAGCTGTGACACTTGACTGTCAATCAATGTGAAGGAGCCAATAGGAAGGCCACTCAAATTCTCAGCATTGCGCGCTTCCAAGAGAAAGCCTTTAAATACAGGCCCTGACAAAGTAACTGAAAAAAAGGAACAACAGATATGTTAAGTGGATCAGCAACATCCCAAAAAGGAAACTATTTAGAGGAGACATGTCACAATTAAGATCAGGTGTATGTATTCAAAACTACTCCAGGAGAGAAAACAGAATTTATCCTATAGACAAAAAAAGTTCTAAACTGTCCCACAGAATATTTATTCTGTGAGATGTCAATAACTATTACACGTAGGAAAAAGGTAGGCAACAGCCAGAAGGTGGCCCATGGGATTAAATTAGTTTGGAAAACACTAGATGAAAGTAAATACTACTTTCTTTACTGCAAAAACCGCAGGCCCTTTCACATCAGCTCTGCAGTATAAAACCCTAAGAATTATGTTATATATAACACAGAGAGCACTTCCAAACTTATTTTTCTATATACTTCTTCCATTAGAGAATCTATTAATGTTTTGCATTTCTAGAGTTGCAGAAAAGAGTTTGTAAAAATGCTATTTTAGGTATACCTTTAAGAGTCAGGATGCATTGTGCCCAAAGTCAGAGAAACATAAGCTTTACACTATACAAGAGTTTGTTTTATCTTAAGTCAAAAAAAAAAACCACTTTATTTTCCACTTCTATTGAATAATAGTACCATTAATAATGACACATTAAATAGTGCTAGAAAAAAAATATGAAAGCCTGTTCTCAATGGGAATTAAAATATATACTACTTAAGGAATACAGTCACCTGTAGTAGTCACAAAAATGGGATGGCTAGAACCATGGGATTTTACCAAAAGGGGATGAAGAGACTTAACTGATATTGCATAATTCCGACATTAATAAAAATTCAATGTACAGTAAAAAAGAGCAAAACCAAACTATAGTTAATCCCAGCAGCATACCTTGGATCTGGTCTCCAGGTCTGAATGTCATCTGACTCACTGAAATGTTGTGAACTGGATCAGAGCGTGGAGTATGACCATGTGAGGGAATCATTCCATTGCATGATTTTGTTACTTTTCCATTGGGGTAATTAGCCACAGAACTAACGTGCAATAGAAGTACCAAGAAACCAAGGATAAATCCTGGAACTGCCATCTCAAAAAAAGATTAAAGCATATTATTTTCTTAAAAATATAAACGATTTCATAACATAGGATTATGATTCTAGAAAATGATTTGCTTTCAACAATCAACTAACCATATTCACAAAAAGTACATAATAAGAAGAATGTGATATGTGAAGTTTGACCTGTATTTGACTCTCAACTCTGCCAACTATCACTTTGTGAGACTTTAAGCAAATGTCTTAGTCTTCCACCTTCTTATTTGAAAAATGAGAAAAGTTAGACCCACCTTTAAAAGTTATTTTTAATGAAATGAAGATAATAAATGTTAGCTTCCATTTGCATGATTGAGAAACAATAAACTAGTCAAATAAAAGCATAAGGTTTTACTCCATTTCCTCCTAGAAAGCTTAGAGAACAAGTAAGAAATGTTTCTTCTAGACTTAAATATCATTACAAAATAAATCTCTGCTATGACCTTTCCTAACTTCCCAATAAACTAATCCTGGTGAAAGGGTGAATGACTTGATTTGTAAAGCTGAAAACTAGGATAACAGGCAACCAGTTGCAAGAGATATTTCTATTGTTTATGTAGCCCTGATACTGCTGAATTAAGAAACACAATTGTTAGTCCACTCAGTTTTCTTCCTCTCATTCAGTTTATCTGCCTCTTACCCACTACTTAAGTCAGTACCAAGTTTTTCTAGCCCATAGCAACCACTTCACTTTGTGCTGTAAAAAGCTGACATTTGTGGAGCCATTTAAAACATGAAGCAGGGCAGCCACTACAGAGAATTGCATTACCTGCCTTCTTTGAAATGGGACAAAAAGCAATTGTTTAAAAAAAAACATCAAGCAAACAATTGTTTGTGAAGTCATTCAGATCACAAAGATTAATGATTGTGGACTTTTTTTGCTGAAGGATAGAATCAGTAACCTATTATGTATAGCCAAGTATAATCTAAGCTTGTTAACACTAATTCACTCCTTTTTTTAACTACATGTCTCATCTTCCTCTTCCCATGAAACTCCCAAATTTATGCCTCCTTGGGGCATGTTTTAGGTTTCTACCTGAAATACAAATTTTTAATTCCAAATAAACACACTTTGTATTATTAATTGCCTCCAGTATCTGTAGGTTGACAATTCATATATTCAGCACCTGCAAATCATAGAATATATCAATGGACAGGATTGTTACAGACAGAAAATAAAGTCAATCCCGTGGACCAGCTATGGATGGGAAGAGCTCAAGAAGCAGTTCACTCTCCTTAGTAATTGAGTTTTCTGGGCCTCCACAGTGGTGCAGCGGTTGAGCGCTGGGTTGCGAAGCTGCCCGCAGCATCTGCAGCGCTGGTTTGATCCCACCTGACAGGTGAGGGTCCCACATGGCGTGCAGACCTCTCCTGCCACCCGCTGCTCCCCTCAACAGTGTACTTGTCAGTCTGCCTGCTCTGCTCTCCCCCTGGCCCTGGTGAATTCTCTCACCCTCCCGCGATTCTGACTGTATCCAGTGCTTGTATAAATAAATAAATAAATCTTAAAGAAAGAAATTGAGTTTTCTGTATCATAGATCTGATTATAAATGAAATAAAAGCACTCTTAGAATCACTTGAATTATCCTTTTATAGTCATGTAAATTTCAATCAAAGCTTCACGTTAGCACAGAGGTAAACTACAGGAATTTCTGCTGGACAAGAGAAACTGTGCTGGGGGCTACATGCATTAACTAGCTCTGCACTTTACACCAGTAGTTACCAAGTAGATAGCAAAGGGTTCAGTGATACTGAATTACCTCTATCTTTTAGCAAACATCAAAGCTAGGTAAAAATTTTCCCCATTTAAACACGAGCAAGAGGAATAAATGAACTAATCTAGCACTTCTGAAAAAGCCTACTGCGTAAGAGAAAGGTCAGACTTCTCTGTACTTAGAAGAAAAGCATAACTTTGAAACAATACTTAAGAAACAATACTTAAGAAAATAATTACTTAGGAGGGGAGCAAATGGATGATTTTCTGTTTAAACATGACTTCCAGGTACTTTTGGTAGGGCCACACATGCTTTTAGGATCAGGCAAGATTTACTGGTGAGGATCAAAGTTATAGCTTTAACCATGTACATAGGCTAACATAATATAAAAGTTAAATGCAGTAATGTGCCACTCACCTAAAGGGCGATGTAGTGGAAACAGTTAATTCAGTTTCACAAAGACTTATTTGGCATTCACCTCCACTCAGGCATAAGTGGAAATGAGACTTGATTTCTAGTCTCTGCAATCCAATAAGCAGTTAAACATTAAGCAAATCATTTAATTTTGGTCTCAGTTTCTTTATTTGCAAAATACAGGAGAGCCAACCCTAACATTATAATGTTAGGAAAGCAAGTTGAAATGCATGTTATGAGTTATTCCAGCAAGAAGTGTAGACAGGAAAGGGAAGTGACTAAGACACCACCACCTGTCATTCACTGGGAAAATATAACAAAGTCAGAGCAACAACAGCAATTTCTTTGTCCTTCGTCAGATGCTGACCATTCACGGTGAAGTTCTATTTTCATTGCAATGGCTAATGATGGTATTTTTAGTTTTAATGATTTAAGGTACAATATTTTTCAGACTAACACATCAATTCGTTAACCAACCAAAGCCGACATGTTGCAGGGAACAGAGAGTTATTCATGTAAACATTTTTACCCCAGACTATTCATTTAGTTTTTCAAGTGTACCCTTTTTTTAGTTTTTTAATTATGTTTATTGAGGTAAAGTTAATTTTCAATACTATATATTGTTTTAAGGGTTCAGGTTCATACCTCTACAAATAGATGTTTTTGATGCTGTGCCCACAACTACAGTTATTACAACTGTAATAACTATTAATCCTCCACCATTGCCCATTTGACCCCCAACCCATCACAGAAACATGGAAGCTAAAACTGTGGAACATAGATAATAATTTACTATATCACAAGGTCATCCTTCAAGCACTGGAAAAACTCCCTTTCGTATTCTACACATTTTTATATTCACATTCTACTATAAGGATAATATATAGAATAAAACAAAAGATACCACAACTTATATTTTGTGACTCCAGGACAAAAATTAGGCTTATTACTTTAAAAGATTAAAAGAAAGGTTATCCTGACTCTTTAACTGAAATATTCCCAAACCTACTGAAATTTATAGTTCTCTCTCCTGCCTGAAAAACAGATACTTAGTAAAAAGGTATAATTATTGCTTATACCACGTTGTACATACATCACACACAAAAATAAAACTTCAAAACAAATGTATTCTTTATTATTTAAATACCAAATTTTTGAACCTGAATGACTACGTAATAATTACTGTGATTGTGGCACACAGATGCAAGTGATGTTAATTAGGGCAATATAGTTATTACAACAAATTAAAATTCAGATAAAAATGGGAATTAAAAAAAGTAAATGTATGAAAAGGGAATATATTAGTTCAGATTTGAAAATAAATTGATTACCAAATGTCTTTATTATACGACTCCAAGAAAAAAAGGCAAAAAAAAAAATTTAAAGAAAATAAAAGAAGGAAAGTACATCCTTTGAAACTGTCAGATGATTAAGCTAGCAAATAACTAATCAAAGCTCCAGCTCTTATTATTAGTCATGTCTTTTAATTTAAGGCATCAAAGGAGTTCAAAAGTTAACATGCATATAAAAATTGTGGGAACTCAGCCCAGTACCACCCACCTATATCACCCAAGATAAAGGGTGAAGCACAGGTTGAGAGTGTTAATTGACATGGAAGTATAAGATAACAAGATTTTCTTGATTATGAAGCATGCTCTTCAATAAAGAAAAAACTTAACTGAAAGAGTTCACTATGAAATATCTAATTTGATAAAGGATTGTTTTTTTCTTTTTTTTTTGGCTGAATATAGTGGGTATATTTAATCTTTTAACACACTCAAAGTAAGAAATATTTTTACATTATGATACAACAAACATTTCAAGAGACATTATTTACCTTTAACACATGTGATAAACTCGTATTTTATGCTGGTACATCCTACTGAATTGTTATTTCACAATCTAACAATGGATCCTGACCTGCAGTATAAAAAACAGCATACATAGACCATTAAGTTTCAGTCTTGAGTCAAGTTCCAAATTCAAAATATCAAGGATTTCAGTTTAAAAATGAGATTTCTAATAACTTAAGAAGAAACAAACAAGCCAAGCAACAGGGAGGATTTTGAAGACAGAGTGATATATCCAGTGGAAAATATCCTATTCTCTTTTATTCTATTTGTGAGTTAAGCAAAACCATAAGTATGCCTAATAAATTAGCATCCTCAGTGACCTTCTATATGAGAAAAAAAAGTTATTAATCATAATATAAAAACATTTAAATCCCTAAGGCAATTAAACACTCCTTGCATTTTTCTCTTTTGCTTCATTACAAGTATAAAATATTTCAATTAATTCATGAATCAAACATGCTATTGTTTCTAAGATTTTATTTAGAAAAAGAACTACTATTTATGATATAGTTTTTATTGGAAAATAAAATTGAGATTCTAAGCTGAGTTAGAAATTAATTTGGGGACAATGCACATTTGTAAAGACAGCATTCCACCCAGAATCTGGGCAAAGCTGCTGAATTTTGCACTGTGGCCAACTGAGGTTGTAGGTAAAGAGTTTTAGAAAAATAGAACCATAGAATTTGACAAAGTCAGAAAGTTAAGGCTAAGCAAAAAAGATACATGGAAAGCAGTGATATTTCTATTACAAAAAGAAAGGATTATAGGTTTGTTATAAAGGGGGGAAGAAAATACCAGAAAGGGGAAAAAGAAACATTTGGTGAGAACCTGATATTATACCACATCTAGGGTAATCCTTACAACCACCAGATGTTATCTTCATTTCAGAGATGTTAGAACTGAGACCAAAGCCTGTACACTAAAGCACAGATACTTTAAGGGTGACAACCTAAATCTAGCTGCATAGTCCATGTTCTTTTTAACTCTACACCATTGCTCCTTAGTTGGAGAGAGATCTTGAAGCATAAACAAATGTAGCAAGGATCTAAATTTCACAATGAACAATGCTAGTGCAGCAATCCAGTGACAAAAATTGAAATTAGCCTTTCTAATTCACAATGTTGAGTCAATTGTATGAGTCTAAGAAGCAATGTAGAGATTTCAACCATAGAACTAAGGGTCCCAAAAGATTAGGTATAAAAAATAAGAATGATCCAACGCCTAAAAGCACTAAGTTGTCCATAAATGATAATTGCCATTATTTGTTATCACTATTAACGTTCCAGTTAACCTGAAAATGCAGGAGGTCATCAAAAGACAATGTGAATTTACTTGGGATCAAAGAATTACAATTTGGAGTACAAAGATTCAGGTAGAAATCTAAAATGTGCCCCAAGTAGGAACAAAAGTCAGAGGTATTTATGGGAATTAAAGACGAAGATGAGATAACTGGTTAAAGAGAAGAGTTAATTTGTGTTAACAAGCTTAAATTATTCTTGGCTATACAAAATTGGTTACTGATTCTATTCTCTGGCAAAAGTCCATAATCATCAGTCCACAAGCCCTGGAAGACTTCTCAAACAATTGTTTTGTGGTTTCTTAATTCCTTTCTGTCCAACCCAAGATCTCTGACTTAATTCAAATAGGACAGATAATACAGTCTCTATAATAGATGCTTAGCTCTATTGTCAAACTCGCTCCATAAATGTCAACCTCTCACATTTTATATCCCAAAATACGCTAATTTTTTCAGAAAACTATTGTGATTAGACAACTGAGATTTCCATGTCTTTTTTTCAGAATTTAATTTGTTTTGAGTCTTCTGAAATATTTCAGAAAATGTGCTCTCCTTTCCAATAATTCAACTTTACCTTCATAGACACATCAATAATTAAATTGACTTTGATAGTTGAATTGGAAATTATAGGAAAATTAAAAAATAGGTCAAGAATTTTATCTTCCTCAGACAAAAAGGTTTCAGAATCCATTTTCACAGCAGGCAACAGAAAAATGACTTTCTTAAATTAACAATTGAAATCATAAAAGTTTCTGAGAAGGTTCTGCTACAAAGAGCATAAAAATGGCATATTGAACATCAATTTGAGATTCATTGGGTTTGACTACTTATGATGGTTTAAAACTTCTGAAAAGAGCTTAGAGTCTAAGTAAGCATAAAAAGGGCCTCCCCAGTGGCACAGCAGTTGAGCGCTGGGCTGCAAAGCTGCCCACAGCCTCTGCAGCACCAGTTCGATCCCCAACCGCTGGGCGAGGGTCCCACATGGCACTCAGACCTCTCCTGCTGCGTCTGCTGCTCCCCTCAGCAGTGTACCTCATTAGTCTGCCTGTTCTGCTCCCCGCTCTGGCTCTGGTGAATTCTCTCACCCTCCCGCACTTCTGACTGTGCTTGTATAAATAAATAAATAAATCTTTTTTGAAAAAGTAAAAGCAGAAAAAGTAAAGGAAAGGTAGAGTAAAACAAATGAAGAAAAAGTAATTGGGAACGCAACTCTATATTCTAAAGCCGATTCCCCTTATCAATATCAGCAAGTAATTTTCCCATTTTCTATATTCATACTCTAGGAAAAATAAGTGGAAGCAAATGCCATATTTTATGTTAGAGATTTCATCTAGATAATTCCACACGACCACCTAAATAATCCTGTCCTCAAAACAAAATTAGTTGCTACTTGAAAGTCCCTTTGCTAAAGATACAAAACTAACAGATGAAACAAAAGCAAATATCATCAATTTATCATTTCATTGGTGTTACTATTTATTGAATGCCTATTCTATTCTAAGAATCACAGTAGGTGTTGTCTGAACTCACATGTATGAACACATATATGCCCTCTACTCCTTGAAAAGACATTGAAAGATTTTTTTGTTGGCACAGAATTTGAACCTCACAGAGGCTATAAGAAAGAATAAAGCACTGCCTAAGATCACACTGGGAAACAATAAGGAAAAAAATGCATTTCATTTTAGAAATGTAGAAGTATGTGAGTGCAATATAAAAGTTAGCAATTACTAAGTGCTTACAACATACCAGGTATCATTTCAAGGCTTTAGTGGGCATTCTTCACAACAGCCAAGGGGGATTGAGAGGAAAGAGTGGTATTGTGCCCAAAATGTAGACGAGGGCACTGATTGAGACACTCACCAAAGTCACAACAAATGCATGATAAAAAGTATGATCTTTGCTCTAATTTCTGAGGTTTTAACCACTAAACTCTCTACCGCTTCTGATCAGACCCTGAAGCTGAAACAAGTGAATCAGGCATTACGGAAGAAAGGGGACTCACACTGAGATAATTTGAATGAGAGCAATAAAAGAGCCAGAGGCAGAAAGTAAAAAATAAGAATGGACTTTTGGGGATAGTGAAGCATTGTCTAACTAGAGCCAATCAAGTATTGGAAATAGTCATTGTAAAGAGTATTTTAATTAAGTCTTCTTCATGGCCCTTACATGAAAATATCCATCCCCAAGACTTCTTCCCTTGGCTCTCCTCATATCTTCTCATGTTTCTCTAAGGCTCAGCATTTCCATGGCTTTTGATTATCACCAACAGGACAGTATGCTTCCACAATGCTTTCTTGACTCAAATTTTTATGTATGGATTTGTTTGGATGACAGTAAGGTCAAGTTGTCAGAAATAAAATTCATCATCTTTTTTTCCAGAATAGTTCTTGCACAGTTCAAACATTGCAGGCCCCAACTTCCAAATAAGTTCTGCATATTCTACCTCTATCTTTCTGTACTTCCACTATCCCTTTGCATCTCTCTCAATTAGTTACTGTTTTCCCATCACCTCTAAACACACGAGGAAAGCCTTCACTACCTGTCACCCAGATTAATGAAACATTCAACTGGTCTCCCTTACTGTATCTCCATTCTACATAACCCCACCAGATCATTTTCCTTAAGCACAATTCTCATTATATCACTCTTCTCCCTAAAAACCTTCATCGGTTCCCCAGAAATGATCAAATTAAGAACAAAGATATTAGACATTTAATGTTTTCTACTGATCAGCTCTACCTCATATCAAGGATTTTTCCCCCATCCTATAACAATGTATGTCGTTTGCTACTCTTGGAATAAACTCTATTCCTATGCTCTGTCATCCAACTGGGACCTGCATTATTTCATATATCAAATTCCTGCCCATGTAAAAATGAGTATTTGTTAAATGGGGGAAAAAATAAAATACAAATATCTGTGTACACTAAGCTTAAATCACGTAAAAAATGCACATTGCCTATCATTTCATGTAAAATGCAAAGACTAATAATAAGCAAAGCTGTAGAGAAATGAGCATGCTCATATACAGTGGATTGTGCAACCTTACAAAACATTTTGGAGGAAATTGACCGTTAATCATCTGATGTAGGAATTTATCCTAAGAAAAACCCGCACAATTAAGCAAGGTTTATTTATAATAGCAAAAATTTAAAGCAATATAGGTGGTTATAATATAATTACTGAACCTTCTAAGATCTAGGCATTCTTTAAGTGTTTTTGCAAGTATTACCTACACTATCAGTTCACAAAAATCCTAAAAATGAATTTGTATATATTTAAAGCAGAAATATGTTAAAGTCATACTGAGGAATGACAAAAGGCAAACTGCAAGAAAGATATGTAGTGTATCAAAATACCTATTACTTACAAAGAAAATGGAAAAGGTGGAAGAACCTCTATGCCACACTTTAACCATTATCAAGAGTGGTTGGTTACCCCTTAGGAGAGAGTTTTCAGTATGGGAAAACAAGTGGATTTTTTTTTTAACAGCTTTGTATGGTGCCTATTTTTTAACGCATGTAGTGCCATAATTTTAAAAACACTACAAAATATGCGTATGTAAAGACTATAAAGAAATACACTAATTGTAAGGTGTTTAAGTTTTTTTTTCTTTTCCTATTTTCAAGCATTGTGTTACATTTACTGTTTTTGCTTGATTTTGTTTTAGTAAAGAAAACCTCTACCCCTCCTCAAGGTTGATTTAAAATGCCATAATAAAAAAAAATTCGGCATACACATAAAACAAAGCAGAAAGATAAGGTTATTATAGCAAGGCTTTCAACTCATTGTTCCAGGAACAATGAGTTCAGTGATGCTCATAGATTAATGGATTTTATGAAATAAATAAGTTATTTGATTTTTTTTCAGCTGATTAGTTGCCTAGACGCCTTCTTAAAGTTAGATTAGTTCTCTTTTATGCAGCTGCAATGCTGGGTTACATTTTGTCCTTGACTTAAATGATAACCTTTTATTGATAATTTAGTTTTATACCATCAACTATTATATGCTATATGACAATGAATGGCATGGACCTTGAAATCATATAAATTTGGCTTTGACTCCAGCGGGCACTATATTTAGTGACCTTGAGCTAATTACAAGTAGTTTTCTTATTTTGTTAGTGACAATGCTACTACTAAGTGCTTTTGTGAAGATTAAATAACATCTATAAAACATTCAGCACATTGCCCACCATCACCAAGTCTTCCATTAATATTGACTGTCTTCTTTGGAGTCATGCCTCATTTTCCAGCCTTATATAACTGTTTTCCTCCTGGAACTTCCAACAGCTTCAGTTTCCAGGTAAAAAATTTTGTCACGTTTTCCACAACTGGTGACTTGCCTTACATAAAACTCCTGGAGGGGCAAGAGAGTCCTGCCCATTGATCGCCTTTTACACTGACTAGCAGACAACCTTGAAAACAGCATTTGTACATTGTAATTTCCAAGGAATCTGACATTACCCTAATTGGACAGGTGTGAAACACAAAGTACAGCCTACTAAATGAATCCACATATTTTACTGGCTTACTAAATAATTTAGTAGCATTCATCTCCTTAAACAAAGCCATCCTTAAAAATTCTAGCTCGTTGTTTCCAATAGGCCAACAGAACCAGATTTTAACTTCATATCTCTGCATTATCCAAGTACCTACTCACATCCTTCCACTTTTTTTTTCAATTCATAGGAAAAAAAATATTCCAACTTTAAAGCTGTTTTAATAATCAAACCTTTTCATAAAGTTTTGTACAGAAATATTCCTAATAACACAATTACAAATCAAAAAATATCCTTTGCCCCTAGGGAAGCACAGACAAGATGCAAAAAAATGAAGGGCAGAGGTAACACCAAGTCACCCCTGAGTCTTTTTGAAATTCTAAAGGTACACCAGGAGTCAGGCGGTGGAAGCTAAGATTTCTAGATTAAAAGACACTTTAAAAACCAAGTTAAGCTTCTAAACAACCTTCACGTAAGTAGGTTTTGCCCACATGTATGCCATCACGTTTAAATATAAAAGGGTGTTCCCATACTTTAAAATTAAAACAGAAGAAAACCCATTCATGAAGCAAGTCCATGCTTTTCAGTAGCTCAAAACCTTTTCCACTTAGTATTCAACCTTTTTGGAGAACTAAAGCTCCTTAGTTAAAATTACGGGACGTATTATAAACCTAACTCGTTAGTGAACATTCATTAGTTAAAATTAAGTTACAGAGACTAGTTTGTCTAAAAGCGTCCCATCCTGCGGCGCCGACAGCCCGGGGCCTGCACAGCGCCTGCTCTCCCTGCTGTCGCCTGGCAGGATTCGGTTTTTGCAGGCTTTTCCGAGAGTCTGATAGAAAGAAAACAGGGGACACTTACCCTTGAGCAGCGAAGGCAGCCTAGCAACTTCCGGCTTGGTTACAACTTGTATCACATTTCAGCAGCGGGGTGGAGCCAGTTTATCCAGTAACCAGAAGGGAACATTTCCCAAACTAAGCTGCAGAACTTGCTTTGCCAGACCAGTACTCCGTATCGGAGTCCATTTCTGAGAAAAAGAGTTTTGTTTTACACCGAGGAACACTTTTTGCCAACTGGTAATTGTCTAACCGAGGAAATTATGGTTTTGTGTTTAACTACAAAAGCATTTGAAAACACAAGGCCTGTATACAATGCTAAGACAAAAGGAGTTGCTAGTGATTAGGTAGTGTTGTCAAATTAAAAAATTTAAATATACACTATCCAGTGAAATTCGTATTTCAGGTAAACAGCAAACATTCTTTAGTGTAAGTATTGACCTATGTAATGTTGGGTTATACGTATACTAAAAAATGATTCACTTTTTCTGACATCCAGATTTACCTTGAATGTCCTGTATTTTATCTGGCAACCCCTTCTAGGGAATAACGATAAATAGCAAAATCGTTCAATTAACTGCAAGGTGTAAAATAATCAAATTGCATAGAGCTGAAACCTTTGAAAGTGTCAATGACATAATTTGAAAAGGTATTATTTTGCAAAACAGATCCTGAAATGTAGGTGTTTTGCTTGCTTTTGTTTCTTTTTAAGTCTTTTACGTCTTTGTTTTTCACAAGATTATTTTGCAAGAGAAAAAAAATAGGGCTAGGAAAATACTCTATATCTGAAAATATTAAACAGTCCACTTGGGACTCTGACTAACAAGGTGCAGACTGGAAAATAGATGTTGTCACCCATGCCTTGCCCCATGACCATGGTTGACAATCAACAACAAATTATCTAAAACCATTTCTTATGTTTCCTTAATTTTGTGTGTGGGGGTGGTGGTGGTGGAGGGAATTCTTCTTACAAAAGGGCACCTGCAAAACAAAGACCTGTACAAGTACTTGTTTTTTCTGAAAGTAAAAGAATGGGAGGGATCCAAGGAAGCAAAGCAGTAAATGGACCTCAAGAGTATCTCCATTTTCAGGAAATAGGACAACAACATACAAAGCTAAAATTTCTGATCCAGGACTTCTTCTAAAAACTCAGCTTTAGCTTGTCTTGTAGACTCCAACCCTCTGCCCTGAAGTGGAAAAGTATGAATTATTACTGCAACCAATTACTCCACTACAAGACACAGCTTAGAACACAGTTGTGAAACACATGTGTCTACCAATAGAGCTTAGGGATGAAATGAAGCAAATAACAAAGAAAATAAACACAAAAACCTTGCAACAAAACCCCTCAAATGAAGACAAAGTTTTGTCCAAAAGGGTCTGGCTGAGAAAGCCTGGGGGCACATCACACATTAAATACAAATGTATATCTGAGACCCCATTTGTGTTAATATATAAGATAACCTCTGCGCGTAAGCCCATCTCTTCATATACAGAGTCAGACAGAGCTAGCAGCACTCTATTAATGGCTACCAATATACTACTTTGTCCTTCAAGATGCATCTAAAACTGCAACAGGGTGGTCCCCAGGGAAGGGGGAGGTTCCCCTCTCCCTGTCTTATAGCAAAACCATTTGAAAAATGAGACAGGAGGGGAAGAACACCATCACTTTACTGTTTTTTCTCCTGGAGAACTAGTCACCGTGAGCAAAAGTTCCTCTCTACATGCTTTTAGTGTGAGGCTTTTCATAAGGACTACCCAGGACTGATTTTTCTATCCTCAAGCTGCTTGGAATGTGAATAGAGTTACACTAAATCAGGTGATCTCCAGTGCTATATAAAGCCTGAGGTGGTGTCACAGTTTTCTCAAGTTATAATTAGACACTTTCTAGTAAAAATTAACAGTGGACACTTTACATAACAACAGTATGATAAGAAGTCTATGAAACAAATAATTCTTAGAATGTATTTGCATAATTTTTCATCTTAGGAAGCACTCTGAGGAATATGGCACAGTGTAAAGAAACGTATGGTGAACCTTATTTGTCTCAAAATCCACCCTTTCCAGGCCTATCATTTTCCTTTAAGTTGCAATTCCCCTATTACTTCCTCCCAGAAGTTCACCTCTATGAGGCTCGCTCTTCATCAGCTCCTTCTGTGTCAACTGTCACAAAGGAAACCAAATTTATTAAAGGGGTCAAGGGAGTTTGGACTCTGAGAAGTTGACACTGACCTCCTGGATCCCATTCTAATGTCTCTACATCAGCAGTTCTCAAACTTTTTGGTTTCAGAACCCCTTTACAACTTAAAATTTATTGCAAACCCCCAAAAAATGTGTGTTCACATGTGTAATAAATATTAAGATTTATCATATTAAAAATTAAAACAAATATTTAAGTATGTATTCACAAATTCATTTTTAAATGACAATAATAAACTTATTACATGTTCTCTTTTTTTTTTTTTTGCTATCACTTTTATGTTGGTTTTTCACATATAAGAATTTGGTGAGTGTAGGGTAAAGAAAATATCAGGCTTTTCTGCCCTTCCGCCATCAGGATAGATGATGGATCCTTGTCCTGAATGCATGCCTGATGGCGGGCACCTGGAATAGGGTGTGGGCATAGGTAGAAGGGATTCAGCTGAGCTAAGACTGTGCTTTTTAAGGGCGGCGTCACAGGGACGCCAGAAGCAGCAGTAGAAGCCGAAGCCGAAGGAGAAGCCGAGAAGCAGCAGAACGAACTCCAGAGAGTTCAGATAGAGTGAAGACTTGCTGGGGGCTGGGAGGCCTGCCAGCCTCCCAGCCCCCCAGCCAGCACCCCTACCTGCCATATGCCTGGTGAACCCCAATAAAAAACCTGCAAAACCACTGAGGACTCTGACTCCTCCTTTACCCGGTCTGCATGGGATCAGAAAACCTGCACAGTGGTCCAGTCCTGCCCCTACAGTGAGAAAGTAGCATTGTTTTAATTTTTGCAAATCTGGTTTACTATAAAGTGCCTGGTTTAATATAAAGCAGCTGGAATCTCAAAAATATTTTTTGTCAGTCTGATGCAATATGATACAATGCAGGTAGTCACTTGAAAATGCCACTGTGCTCATGAGAGAATGAAAATAAATAGGGCAAATAGAATATAGCAAGAACAACAATCACCATTTGTTGAGCACCCATTTTCACCAACACAAATGTATTTTCCTACGCAAGCCTCACAAGGACTCAAGGTAAATGATTTTATGGACATTCTATGGCTGAGACTGGTGAGGATGTGTGTGGCTAAGCAGATTGCCCAAAATGAGGGAGAGAAATGTAACAAGACAGGATTCCAAATCAAAGCTACTAACTCTCTACACTGAATGTCTCTGCTAAGTCTGAATGAGAGCTAACAGACCAAATTTACAAACTTCCCTTTCTTATCATATTCAGTATTTCTTAAAAAGATTAGATTCAGTACATCTCCAAATGATTAGACTTTGCCTTAAATCAACAAATGCAAACCTATCATGTAAAATGGACTTATTCTCACCATGCCCTTAACCACATCCATCTCATCCGAACAGCAAATTCATCCTTTTTTCCCCATCTTCATTGTCATGATTCTGACTTATGTCCTCATTAAGTCTCAGTTGGACTGTACTCATTAGCTACTAAGTGCCTCCAATTTCTCATCAACCTAATTAGCCATCACATATGCTATTGTGTTAACCTTTCTAAAGTATAAGTTACATCAGGTAATTCTCTGGCTCAAAAAAATCTGCACTTACAACTTATTATTGAATAAATTAATGTCCAGATTCCATGGACAAATGATCAAAAGAAATACAGTTGATCCTTGAACAATATAAGTTTTAACTACACAGGTCCACTTATACTCAGATTTTCTTATAACCTGACAATATAAATTTACGGTGCTGATAATACAGCACAGTACTGTAGAGGTGGAGGGGAACTTTCCCCCAACTCCCTGAGTTTTTCTTGGACTGATCAAGCAATCAAATTAAAAGGACAGATTAGCAAAAGAAAAGAACAAATCTAATTACACATGTATGGAGAATCTACAAGGATATAGGGTCTAAAGAAATTGGGGCAAAACAAGAGTATTTATATCCTAAGCTAAGGAGTGGAATAGGAGCTTGGGGCTTCTGAGAGATGGGGGACTCACATCACAGGGAGAGGATGACTCACATGCTCTATAAGCCACATGCCAACGTGACATCTCTTGGGAAATCCTCTTTTGAACATCTTTTTTTTTTTTTAATTTAGGTTACATCAGTTTACAACACTGTATATGATTTAAGGGAAGTAGTTCACACCTCTTCAGAATGATGTTATGTACCACACCCATCACAAAGCACACATAATAGCTCATCATAAACCATTGGGTTCCCTCTCCCCTTTACTCTCTATCCTCTACCATGTGCCTCCACTGGCCTCAATTCTGCATTCACTTCTAGGGTTTGTTCTGGCTTAGTTTTCCCCCATTGCTTTGTTTCTCTATATTCCACAAATGTGTTGTGATTTGTCTTTATCCTTCTGTTATTTCTCTTAGCATAATCTCTTGTAATGCAATCCACGTTGTTACAAATGGCAGTGTAGTATCCATTGTGGATTTATACCACATGTTCTTTATCTGTTCATCTGTTGTTGGGCATTGAGGTAAGTTTCTATTATTTGGCTATTGTAAATAGTGCTAGAATGAACATAGGACTGCATATAACCCTTTGAAAAATTCACATTTTTGCACTCTTTGGATAAATACCAAGAAATGGAATTACTGGATCATATGACATATCTATCTTTAATATTCTGAGGATCCTCCAAATCAAATACCAAAAATTTTCTCCCCATTCATAGTAATAACCCAAAAATGTCATCGCACATTTTCAAAGTTTTGATAGAAAACCGGAATAAAGCCTCAATCCACTGTTTAAGACTGAGATAAATGACTCTGGGTCCCAATTGATATGTTTTGTCTTTTAAGGAATATAAATACAAGGAGAAGACCTAGAGGACTACTCCTTCCTACTACTGTTTCTTCAAGCTGACAAACTCAAGAAAAATTTAAAGTGACTATGAAAAGGCAGAGGCATTTAGCGCAAAGAGCATTAGATCACCCTGGACAAATCACTTATCCACTCTGTTCTTGTTTTCTCCCTGATAAGAATGAGACATTACCAGAACTATAGATTCTCCA